GCTGGGGGCTGCACTCCGATCGCCTCTTTGACCGTCGTCGTGGCCTCCCGGGCCCCCACCTCCTTCACCAGAAACGGCTGGGCCGACAGTGAAAGGAAGGTGCCCAGGCAAGTCGAAGTGGTTAGGGTGCCCCGATATCTTCGCATCGAAAGGGGCGTTTCCAGGGTTCGTTCCTCGAGCGCCCCCCCGTGTCGGACCTTCGCTTGCCCCCGAGGTCTCCTCGACAGCTGGCCCAGGAATGAAATGCGATTTCGCAAGAGGGAGCGTCGGCATCGACGGAGCAGCCATCATCGGCATCTTGCCAAGATCCGACTTTTCTGATTTGAAAACTGGCATGCCCATGATATCTGCAAGATTGTTCATCTGGCGCTCGGGTTCAACATCCTCAGGCGAGGCCGAGTGTCTCGGTGCCTTCCCATCAGGATCGTTGCCTGCGTTCTGAGCATCAGGTACGCCTCGGGGTTCTACCCTCTTCTCGCAGTCACCCTGATATCCTAACGTTTATCTCCAAGCACATTCATCGCAGCGTTTAGAACGATATCCGGACGGTCATTGCACGCGCGCTTCAAACGACCCTTGCATACATCGGTCGAAGGCCGCGCACGCATGCGACAGGCCTGACTCGGAGTGCCCAATCGCGTTCGGGCTCACGATGTGCCACGCGCCCGAATAGGGCGAGCAGCAACGGGGCGAGGAGGTAGCTCAATCTGCGCCGACTGTGCCGGTGTTGAATCAACCTCTTTCTAAATCCTTCGTCGCTCAAGGTCAGACCTCAATCTTCTATTTTCCTCGCTCACGGCCCGAGTTGCAAGGACGTTGTTTCCTATCTGTTCTCTTGCGCGCCACTTCAGACGGCCCCAGGCATCGGCCATTATTTTACGGCCCCCTTCTCTGTTTGCTTGGGTCTTCTGTTCTTGTTCTCTAAGGGCTCGCAGTGCCTCAGATTTCACTCTTTCGGCCGAGTCTAGCAGCTTCCAATTGATTGCGGAGCTCCTGATTTCCTCGCGCTGCCTGTTTTCAGGCTTCTCTCTCTCCTTCCCTCCTTGCAGCATCAGCCATCTCTCTGTTTTCAACATTCTCTCTTTCGGCCTTCTGCTGAATGTCAGACGCAAGTTTTTCCGCTATGCTCTGGGTTCTCACTGATTCTATTTCCTCTTGAGCAAGGCGCCGATGTGTTTCGTCTGTAGCGCCCGCTGCGTCGGCCTCAGCATGCTGCATCAGTTTCTGCGCATGTTCCACCCTCATGCTTCATCCTTTTGTGCAATTGCTTGTCTCTCAGCCTCGGAAACCGCCAGCTGTCGTTGAGCTTCTTCGGCGGCCTCCTCGTTTGCCTGCGCCTCAGAGATAATATGTTGCACGTGCGCACTCGCAGCCCTCAGCTGCTCCCGATCCTGTCTGTTTCTTTCCGCCCACTCTTGAATCGCGAGAGAATGGCAGTTGCGGCCCCCCATCGCGATGCACTCGTCACTAAGCCACGCTAGGCTACATTTGAAGCAAACATTTGCACATTGAAAACACACTGGTTTTCGACATGAACCCCCCGGTTGCGCGCTTCCCCAGGACACCGATTCCCCGCCCGAGCGGGGCACGTCGGCCCGGCGCTCCAGCAGCCCTCCCGCATCGAGAAGCCGCTGGTAGTTATAATTCGATGACACTCGCGGCGACTCAAAAGGCATCGAATCCTCCAGAACTGGAACGCCCGGCCCTCGGGGCCTTACTGGAGCGCCCCCTGTCGCTGCTTAGGGTAGGTGCGTGTTGTTCTCTCGCTCTCACGCCCCTCTTGATGGCGTCAACGCCCATGCTCCTTGCCAGATCGTGTCGTTCGTCCTGTATGACGAGCTCATCGAGTTATGGTACTATCTCTGTTTGTTCTGGGCAACGACAAGTCTGGCCTGTGAAAACCCTGCGATAAGGGCGAGGCGTTCAAGTCGTCATTATCGCCCTTCGGTTTCTTCGTAAGCGGGCGGGGAGCCATGCCTGTAACTTCTCGCGTATTTCTCACCGCACGCATCGTGTCGGGGGAGCTCGATATCGGCTGTGCCGATGAGCATTCACCTTGATTGAGGCTTTCTCCTTCTCTACAGTCATCGTCCGAATCAATGGTGGCTTTCTGACTTGCCTCTATCACTATACGGTCAGGAGCGAGACCGACACGCAGATCAAGGAGAGGCTCGAGATGACGCGACGGACCCGGCGAGGTGCGAAGTTGGGCATCTTCCTCTTCTTTTCTATCGAGGGGGAACTGCCCCCATCAGATTGTAGGTCGCCCACGTTCACTCTGTCCATACAACGCACATTGCACTGCATGCTCGGCGCCCAGACATTCAGCGCCTGATGTTTCGATAGGGATATGATCCAACACCCTGTCCATGTCGATATCTATGTCGATCGATGGCTGAAAGCCAGGGTGCAACGACACCAACTCAGAGGGTCCCTCAGCGGAAGCCTGGCTGCGCCATACCTTCCGTTCGAGCGTTGCTCTCTGGATCTCAACCGGTGAATCTCCTTCTGTTAAGCCGAACATAGTCTCTGATGTTTCCTTGCTGGGAAGGTTAAGAGGGTCAGGTCGCCTCGTCGGGGCGCTTTTACTTGTGTTACGATGGGAAGTTATTCGATTTTCTGTTCGCCCGAACGCCCCTTCTTGAGATCCCATGCTCTGCGAAGCGAGCGGCTGTGCCGTCGCTTCGGCTGATAATCAGTTTTTATGCTTGGATATTCGTAATCCCTGCAAGGTGCCCCGATGATATATCATGGTCAGTGGGCTCCGCAGATGACATGGGTAAGAAAGGATAATGCCGTCAAGCATACACTGAGGTAAGAGTGAAGGGAGGAGGTCGGCCCGCCGGCCGACGCACGCGCGCGCGCCGCAGGCTCGCTCCTTTTCCGTTTCCCGAGAGCCAACATACATTGCGGCGAGAGCAGAATAAGTCAGTACAGCAGGCGGACAGCGCGTGCAAGGAGAGAGAGCAGGCAGGGCAAAAGAATTGTGGTGCGGAAGGGGTGCATTGACTGATTCGGAATGTCAACCACCCTTTTTCCCTTTTGCACTGCATAGAAGCGGTCGGTCTACACGAATCGTCGCTTCTCCGTTTCTGACGGTGGCAAGCAATCGGGCATGCGCAGCCAGACCTACCGCAACGCAGCTCTCTATATACAGACGCGCGCCAACGAAATACATCATGCAGATGCTAGTATGTTGATCGACGCCGACATTGACAACGTAAAGAAGCACATGAACTACAAACGCTGGGCGGACAGTATCTACGGTCTACATTGCAATAAGAAGGAATTCAAGCTCGTATATGCCATAGGAATCGCCAAGCATCAGTCCACTGACTCGTGACACAGTCAACCCTAAGAGGCAAATTGTCTTACTGGAATGCAAGATCAAGGCGGACGGGTGGTGCCGCACGAGCAAGAGTTCGAAAAACTACTTTGGGCTTGGTCTCACTCTGGAATATATCGCACCAGGATGTTGATCTTCAACGCTTGTGTCACCAGTAGTCTCCTTCACAACCTTGATTCGCTGTCGTCCACCACCGCGGAGGCCCAGAACGTGGAAGGGATTCAGGAAAGTTGCTTAACAAATAGTAAGTATCAAGATACCCTTATCCCAGTATAAGAACGTCGTCAATGATTCGGTGTTGCAGCCGACCAACGCTAAGTTCATGAGCAGCATGTTGTCAGAGAGGCAGCTCAAACGTATGGGGGCATTGGCTCGACGAAAAACGACCGACAAAGTGAGACAAGGTACTTTCGAGCCCAGCAAGTCTTCTCCGCCGAAAGAGCCGGCGGGCCCAAGACGCCGACGCAGACACAAAACGAGTTGGGCGAAAGGGGTCTTCAAGCATGCACTGGCAGCGTGCCGGCGGAGCAGATACTTGAATGCGCTGCGTGGCCACAGGCCGAAGAGTGACTAGGAAGCCGTTGTGAGAGCGCACTGCCAAAATGGTATTCCTGTCTTCCCATGCTACCGTGCCGTCTGGTGGTGCACGAACTTCTTTCGTCCACGTTTCCTTCTGTTGGCGGCGCGCACAAGGGGGTAGGGGGAGGGGGGAAGGCTTCTTGTAAGGAGACTGCTTCTTAAAAGGCGCTGGCCCTGCATAAGGCCTGCGCCTCCTAAGAAGCAGGGGTGGTTCTAAGGAGCCCTCCCCCCGCCCCCCGCCTCCCACTGCGCGTGGCTGAGTGAGGGGGCGTCCCCAGCATCCCAGTCGGTGGGCGTCCCCTCGCTCATCTTTGGGATTGAATCCCCGCCAGGCTTGGTTGACCCCCGTCGGGCTGGGTTGACCCTCGACGCGGCTGGGTTGACCCCCGTCGGGGGGTGCCGGGGGGCGCCCCCCGCATCCCCCAACGGGGGTCAACCCAGCCACGCCGGCGCGCCGCGCTGGGGGGTGCAGCGTCCTTCGGTGCGCGGTGTGGTTGTCCGCGGCAGGGGTCGCGCTGGGGTCGCCGGCGGGAGTGGCGGCCCCTTGGCGCTGAAAATTAAACTAGGACTGCACATCGCACATGGGTCGCTCCCGCTGGGGCGACGCGTACAGGCCCGATGATCGCCCATTGAGGCGGCAGCCAGGATGGCGGAGGAGGAGGAGGAGGAGGAGGAGGAGGAGGAGGCAGACCGTTTTCACTAAAGGGTGGTTTACTAAAGGGAGGTTTGTCCACCGCCGAGTCCTGAGGGAACGGGTCTTCGGGCTCGGGTCGTAAGAGGCAGAGGTGCCGATACCGCTACCGTTCCCTCGTCGCCTCGGCTGGCTTCGCCTCGAAGTTCTGGTCAGAGTGCACAAGGGGAAGGCTCTGGGGACTACAGCGATATTGTGGTATTGTGTGCAGTGCCCCTCGGGAAACGGGGCTGGAGTTGTATCGCCGTTTTCGGGCTCTGGGAACCCAAGACAGGGAGCCCACAAACGACGTACGCACCCAGCTGCGTACATGAACACGACCCCTCGATCCATGAGACTGGCCGCGTGATACGAACATTTGCGCAATGCATACTCTCGAAACCAGCGTGGATTCATGTACGTGTACGTCCTTCTTCCGCTCCTGACAAAACCGGTCCTGGGGGGCAACCCGGAATCCAAGAGCTGCTTCCTTCGGGACCCGTTTACAGCATGCCAGCCTCGGGTCAGCCCTTCCTTGCTCGCTACCCGCCGACCCTGAGGTCTTGACCGACGCGGAGGTGGCAGCGGAGCTCATGCGCCGGAGGGAGGAGGAGGCGAGCCCGCCCTCCCGTCGTGTGACGAGGTCGCGGCAAGAACGGTTGGCGTGGGCTCGAGAGAATCGGCGCAAACCATGGGTGCGAGAAACTCTTCCGACACCGTGACTGGCGCGACCTGTGGCCAGTTCTAACCAGCGACTGGCGGTCAGGAGAGCCTCGGCCGCTTCGACGCGCCGCCGCCAGTCGGCCTCTCCTCGTCGCTGCCGCTGCTGCAGTAACCGGTCCCAACCAGCGACCCAGCGGGCGCCACGAGGGGCTGGACCGCCGCCACCCAGCCCACGATCTCCTCGCGCACGCGCGCGTGCGGCGACGCGCCGCCGCCGCTGGGGGCCGCGAGCCGCCCCAGCTCGTCGGCCAGCAGCTGCGCCCGGTGGAGTGTCGCCGCGTCGGCGGGGACAATCTGAAACCTGTCCGCGGGTGCCAGCTGTGCACCTGCACCGATCCCAGCCAGGCCAGTCCTGGGCCAAGGATCGGTGTACACGCACACTTGGCCTGGCCAGGAGGGCGTCTGCACCGACCCTGGGCCTGCGAGTTGACCAGGCCAGGATCGGCGTGTGGCCGCACAGCTGGCGCACTCCTGACCTGCGGAGATTGTCGAAGAACCACCAGTGCCGCAGCCAGGTTCGCCTCGGATCCTGGCCTGCGGGCGGCCCCTCTGCCACGAGCCGCTGGAGCTCCCCCAGGGTCACGTCCAGCGCCTCGCAGACGCCCCCGCACAGGTCCACCGCCGCGCCTGGCGCCAGCTGACCGCGCGGCACGGCGGCGGCCAGGTGGTGCAGGCGTTCCTGCAGGGGGGCCGCGCCAGCCGCTGGCGCGCTTTCCAGCAGCACCTGCAAATGCCGCAGCTGCTGTTGGAAGCCCACGTTGGGGTAAACGGACGGGCGCCGTCGCGCCGTCAGGCGCCACGCCTCGTCGAAGCCCAGCCCGCGCTCGAACATCAGCAGCGCGATCACACAGCTCGCGCTGCGCGACACGCCCCGCAGACAGAAGACGAAGACGCTGCGCCCCTCGGCACGGGCGGCGCACAGGAAGCGCAGGGCTTCTGGCAGCAGCTCCAAAAGATTGGCTTCGAAATGGTCGACCAGGGGCACGCGGGCGTAAGCGAAGTGATGGGCGTGCCTCTCCGGCGCGCTCGGGTGGCAGATGAGCACGTGGGAGATACCTCGCTTCTGCATCGCCCCCAGGTCCTCGTAGAAAATATGATAGGTGGCTCTTGATCGCAAGTCAATATAATCGCTCAGATCATCGAAACGATCGACTCGCACACCCCGTGTGGAGGAGGGGAATCGCCCTCGGGGATAGCAGAACTGAAACGCTGGAGTCGTGCGCGTTCCGATGGGGAGTTCGCCCGTGCCTATCCAGGCATGGCGTGCAGGCCGTGGCCTCGAAGATTCAAGTAAAAATCCGACGAGCCATGTAGGGCGTGAGTGGTTTTGGTCGTTTCCTCTTCAGAGCCCCTTCTTCCCCTGCGGGGAATGGTTTACCACCCGACAGGCGACAAACCTGGGCAATAACTATGGAAAGCGCACATTGCACCAAAATCTGGATCATGCGCGGGCACCCCGCGATCACTTTGCCTTGGTTTTACCCAACCATTATGTGGGGTTGGGTCCTCGTGTTGAAGAGACAGTGCCCCGCGTTCTTTTCCTCTCCTCTCCTCTCCTCTCCTCTTCCTCCCCCTCCCGCTCCCCCCTCCTCCCGTCACTCCCCTCACTTTGGCACACCCTCACACGCTTCGTGGCCATATTGGGAGCTCCACCGAAGGTCCCAATTGCACAGATCGCATGAATTTCCCCACCCATTACAACGTTTCGTGGCCTCGTAGGGAGCTCAACCGAAGGTCCCAGTGTCGCTGCCCGCATGCGTCTCCCCCACCCAGTACAGCGCTTCGTGGCCCCATAACGGGCTCCACCAAGGGTCCCAGTGTCACAGCCCGCATGCGTCTCCCCCACTCAGTACAGCGTTTCGTGGCCCCGTAGGGAACTGAACCGAAGGTCCCACTTGCGCAGCCCGCAAGCGTTTCCCCCGCTCAGTACAGTTCCCTACCTAGGCTCTGCCTAGAGGGTTCTTACTCTCTTTCTTACAAGGTCCGGGCAGTGCACACCGCCCCGGGCGGTTCCCCCAGTATCCGCCCCGCGGTTCCCCCAGTTGCGTCCCCTTAACTTAGCGTTGCTTATCTCATCTTAGCTTAGCTTAGTTCATCTTAGCTTAGCTTAGCTTCATCTTAGCTCAGGTCTTAGCTTAGCTTACCTTCATCTTAGCTTCGCTGAGCTTTAGCATAGCAGAGCACAGCATAGCATAGCATAGCGTAGCATAGCATAGCACAGCACAGCATATCATAGCATAGCCCAGCATAGCATAGTATAGCGCAGCATAGCATAACATAGCGCAGCGCAGCACAGCACAGCACAGCACAGCGCTGCATAGCATAGCATAGCATAGCATAGCATAACATAGCCAAGCACAGCATAGCATAGCATAGCGCAGCATAGCATAGCACAGCATAGCATAGCATAGCATAGCATAGCGCATATTAGCACAGCATAGCATAACATAGCTTAGCATAGCACAGCGCAGCATGACATAGCATAGCTTAGCATAGCATAGCATAGCAGTGCATAGCATAGCGCAGCATAGCATAGCATAGCATAGCATAGCATAGCATAGCATGGCATACTATGACATAGCATAGCATAGCAACTAATGCTGTTTTCCTAGGGGCTCCAACTTCTAGGTCGGGTCGCACTGGGGTAATGCTTCGTAACCGTGTAATCAAAATAATAAGCTCCGCCGAAAGTCCAGTGGGACCGCCTGCAAGCGCCTCCCGCACCTAGTACAACGTTGAGTGGCCCCGTGGGGAACTCCACCGAAGGTCCCAGTGCCGCTGCCCGCATGCGTCTCCGCCGCCCAGTACAGCGCTTCGTGGCCCCATAGAGAGCTCCACCAAAGGCCTCAGTGGCGCAGCCCGCATGCGCCTCCCCCACCCAGTACAGCGTTTCATGGCCCCGTAGGGAACTCCACTGAAGGCCCCAAGGGCGCAACCCGCATGCGCCTCCCCCACCTAGCCCAGCGCCTCGTGGCCGCAAAAGAAGCTCCACCGAATGCCTCAGTGGCGCAACCCGCATGCGTCTCCCCCACCCAACACAGCGCTTCGTGGCTGCAAAGGGAACTTCACAAAACGCCCCCGTGTCGCAGCCCGCACGCGTCTCCCCACCCCAGTACAACGTTTCGTGGCCCCGTAGGAAGCTCCACCGACGGTCCCAGGGGCGCAGCCCGCATGCGTCTCCCCACCGAAAAAAAAAACGTGGCCCCATAGGGAGCTCCACCGAAGGTCCCAGTGTCGCAGCCCACATGCGTTTCCCCCACCCAGTACAACGTTTTGTGGCCACATGGGGAGGTCCACCAAGGGTCCCAGTGGCGCAGCCCCATCTGACGATACCCACATCTGTGGTATCCACAACTGTATGTGGCTGGGTCCTTCGCCAGGCTAATTGACAAGGACGGCGGGGAGCAACATACTGCCTGCCGCGTGGACTGCCAACCCCCCACCACACCATCCTGCGCAAGAACAACACAAAGTGCATGTGGCACCAGAATCTGGATCATGCGCGGCCACCTCAAGATCATGCTCGAATTGTTTTTGACCTGGACGATTGGGGGTGGCGCATCCTGTCTGGCGCGCGCAGGCCCACCGTCCGTTTCAACAACAAACCTTGGCGAATAACCCAACCATATGCAGTTGTGAGTAAAGCGTTGTGGGTGCCGCTTTCGGTGGGTCACGCAACGCGTGATGGAGCGTGCCATAATGGATGGGGGGCGCACGCGGACGGTCCCATTGGGGCCTTTAGTAGAGCTCGGGCGTTCCCTATGGGGCCACGACACGGTGTACTGGGCGTGGCGGACGCACGCGGGCTGCGATACGGGGCCCTTCGGTGGCAACCCCATATGGGGCCACGACACGTTGTGAAGGAGATAACTGACGTGCGCGGGCGGTCCCATTGTGACCTTCGGTGGAGCCCCCCATGGGGCCACTAAACGCTGTACTGGACGTAGCGGATGCACGCGGGCGGTCCCACTGGGACCTTCGGTGGAGCCCCCTGTGGTGCCGCGAAACGCTGTACTGGGTGTGGACGCACGCGGGCGGCCCCACTGGGACCTTCAGTGGAGTTTTTTTGGGGGGGTAACGAAACGCTGCACTGGGTGTGGCGGACTCCTGCGGGCGGCCCCACTGGGACCTTCGGTGGAGTTTCCTATGGGGCCACGAAGCGTTGTTCTCGGTGGGGGAGACACACGCGGGCGGTCCCATTGAGACCTTCGGTGGACTTCCTGCTGGGGCCACGAAACGCTGTACTGGGTATGGCGGACGCATGCGAACAGTCCCACTGGGACCTTCGATGGGGCTCCCTACGGGGCCATGAAAAGTGTGACGGGCGTGCCGAAAGAGGAGGGAGGCCGATATGGGTGGCGATGACAATGATGATGATGCTGATGATGGTGATTAGGATGGGAGGAGGGAGGAAGGAGGAGGAGTGAGACGCGGGGCACTGTCTCTTCAAAACGAGGACCCAACACCACGAGGACCCAACCAATGGTGCACGTTGCCAGGAGCGGCATATTGCCTGATGCGCGCAGACCCACCATCCCTGCCAAAATCAAATCCAAAGTGCTTGTTGGCGCACACACAGTGCACAGCGCTGTCACTTTGCAACAAGTTTTGACAGGGTGCGCCGACCGATTGCCAAACGTGGCGCATTTGGTGCGCGTGGCACACCAGGCACGTGGGACGTCTGCTTTGGTGCCCGATGTTTGCCGGTAGCGGCCCCAGGTTATGCTGAGACCCTGGTGCCATTTATATGGTAGAAGGGCGGGCGCGAATCGACACTGCTTGCGGCGTTCCTGGCTGGCATGATCCCTTCCGCGGGAACTCATTCGAGCGCCCAAGATGGCATCAGCGCGAAAGCAAAAACAGCTATGTCCTTGGATCCAAAGAAGGGGGTTCATAGTATTATTGGGATGCTTCCAACTAATCACTCACTCCCATGCCCGTGTCTCACTATTCCCAAGCATCCTGCAGCGTTGGGCCGTCTCGTCGGAGGTTAGCGAAGTCGGGGTGATGCTCACCCCACTTCCCACTGCGGCGACTGCCGCGAGCTCGGCAGCCCCCACCTCGTCGCGGCCCTGCTCGCGCTCACTCAGGCCGACGAGCGCCGTAGGTCCAGTTCTACCCTGTCGTCGGTGATCAGACCAAGCATCAGTCCCTGGTCTGTCTTGCACCATGCGAGCCCGGAGTCCAATACGGAGGCGGCGTTCCACGGCGACTGCCACTTCCGCTGCCCCCCACAAAGGAAGCCCGCGAACTGCCGCGCAAGCTAGCGGCCCCGTTAAGCCCGCAACTCAAATGTCCTCATAGATCATGGCGCCTGCCCGCTTGTAGTCTGGCGGCTACGCGCGAGCCCGCGCGCCCCCCCGCTGGCCACCTGGGCTCGCGCGGCCGCCGACGGCGCCGCCGAACTCGCCCGACGCCCACTGGCATCTGAAGCCCGCCAAGACCGCCCCTAGCAACTTCCACGTCGAGCGGCGGCACCGCGCTTTCCCCCACGTCGCCCCTGGCCACGAGAGCAACCTGGACGGCGGGGCCCAGCCCACCCTGCAACTTGAGCTGCCTCATCTCCTGCCACAGCCCCTCTGGCCCACCACCGGTTAGAGGCCGACGGGGCGCGCCACGTGGCCGGCACCCCCCGCTCTGTCGCAGCACAAACAGCAGACGCCGTCTCGATTTCCACTCTGGCCGACACTGCCACCCCTGAGAGCACGACAGGCCGCACGGACGCAGAAGGAGGCCGCGGCCGCGCCCAGACCTTGCGGCACGGATCACCGACGGGGAACCCGAATGAGCCTCTCAAGCGAGGCCCCCGAGAGCAGAGGCCCACAAGACGCACAGAACTGCATCCAGCATGATGCGCAGAAGGCCATTGACATTAGCCACCGCTCAATCGAAAAATCCCATGTTCACCATAGGCCTCCAAGACCCCAAGACGCCTAAAAAACATCCCAAGCGATTCCGAGAGACATCCAGGAGGCCACTAGCTCACTGAGGTCCGACGAGGGCCGCAGCCCCGCCTTGGCGCCCCCGCTTCCACGCATCGGGGCACCTCCGGACGACCTGGCACCGAACCTCCAAACGCGC